TATAGGAAAGATGGGGAAAATCTTTTTAGTAGGGCCAGCTGTGACAGGACAAGGGGTAATGGCTTTAAATTAAAACAGGGTAGGTTTAGACTAGATATAAGGAAGAAATTCTTTACAATGAGGGTGATGAAACACTGGAACGGGTTGCCCAGGGAGGTAGTGGAGGCCCCATTCCTGGAAACATTCAAGGCCAGGTTGGATGGGGCTCTGAGCAACCTGATGTAGTTAGTGGTGTCCCTGCTCACTGCAGGGGGTTGGACTGGATGGCCTCTAGATGTCCCTTCCAACCCAAACCATTCTATAATTCTATGATCATCCTCTAGAGTGTGAACAGCTGATGGCTTGGATACAACCACTGGGCTTCTCTCAGGTGCAGCAACCTTACTGCACCGTGTATCTCAAGGTGATGAACTGTTTCTCCAGCCTTATGCTAATGCTGTCCTTCATAACTGTACTTCTTGCCTCCTTCCCCCACTCTCCAGAGAGAAAGCAGAGAGATTCTAGGTATTCCCAACGGCAAACTGCCAGGAACAAGGAACATGGAGATTAAACATCAATTTATGGTGATCAGAACAAAAGCAGCATGTCCAACACTAACGGTCTGACAGGTAGAGACCACTTTGCAGCATTAGTCAACAGGAATATTATGTAGCTTGCCCATAGCTTAAAAAACCATCAAAAGACATACAGAATCACTTGGCCTTATCAACCGCCCCAGTACTGAATGTGCTGAGTATTTAACAAATGCTGGAGTGCAGATGGCTATCCGAAACTACCGAAACTGAAAGGGAAATACAGCAGGACTTAAAATACATTTTCTTTACACAACCTCCTTCCCATCCTTCCTGCTATCTGATGTTCAACTCTTTCCTAAGGTGTAGGATTCTCCCTACCACCACAGTGTTCTCTAGGATGTGATAAACACATCTCTTACATACACTGCTGCCATACGAAACCGGCTCAAAACTATGGCCTATGTCCTGCTGGCTATTTTTCTCAGGCCTTGACAAGAAACAGAAAACAAAAAGTTAAATTGGTTCCCACCAGCTCTGTTGACAGTGCAAGCCAGTAATAGCCTGCCTAACCATGAATCAGAATCTCTGCCATCAGAAATTAAAAATACTCCAGTCACATACCCTGAAGCTTGACGGTGAAAAAGACACACGCATACATTTGTCACCAGCATTGCTATGGTAACCCTTTATCATGCACACAACACTGGAAAATTTCAGCCTGCAATAACATCACTTCCATAGTCATTTGACATACAGGAAAACAAGAATCTCTTGAAAACAAGCCTCAATCATCAGTATTTTGTCCATTTCTAATGCAGATTTGAACGGCTGCCAAAGAGAAAGGAGAAGCATCTGTGGGGCTGCTAAATCTCAAAGTCCCACACAGAGAGTGATCATGTATGCTGACATGAGAGAGAAAGTGTTGTGCTAGAGATAGGCCAGGGAGAGGATATTGCCATGAGGAAGAAAATGGTTGGTTGGCTGAGACAAAGTCACACCAAAGCACCTCCCTGCCCCAAATTTATAGTTGTTAATAGTTTTACTCCAGCAGGATTTCATAAAGGATCGTTTTGTCTTCCTTGACCATAATACTAAATGCACTGTTTTCTACTATTTATATGAACTTTACTACTAAACCCACAAAAAAAGTTAAAAATAACAAGTCCTCTCTCTTTACCCAGATAGTACATTTCTGATGGAATTAACTTTAGACTAGAAGCTGAACTCTGTTCTTTGTCAAACATGAATACTTCCATTATATTAAATAGCAGATGTATGTGCAGAATTTGCTTGTATAGATTTATTGGGAAAATAGACCTTTCTAGTACAAGCTAATCTAAATACATATTTACATTCTAAACAAGAAAAAGCAGGTATTCTTTGGGGTCACTCAAAAGCCAGAATCTAAGTTTCAGCAAAAATATCAAAATTTTTGTTATTTGCTCTTCTACAAAGAAACTTGGTTTACATGGTATTTGAAACAGTTCTTTTTTTTTTAACAGAAAACCAAAATCATAAGAAGGTACTTCATTTTTTTAACAGTTATGCTAGAAATGACTTAGCTATTGATCATGGTCTCTACCTTTCAGAGATACAATAGAATCATAAGCTTTTTCTGAAAAAAATGCTTGCGGGTTGTAATAAAGCTTCCTTTTACTTAAAACAGGAAAACACATAACAAAATTATCTTTTGTGGTGTATTTTTGAAGAAAAGAAGCAGTAAAAATTCAAAGATAAAAAGGTAGGTGATGTTACTGATCTGTTATGAATTTATATTTGTACTCAGTAATTATGTATGTGTTGGGTGAATTTAGTGTGTACTTTTTCAAAATCATAGCAAAAAAGAATAGGTGTTAATAAAACACCGAGTGTAAATAGAATTAGAATTTATCTTTGATCTTAGTGTAGACTTACACGGCTATGACATCAAAAACTTTCTAAATGCTTCTTTTATCAGCATAACAATTCTGATCTTTGAAGCCAGGAAGCCTTTACTTACTAACCAAACTGATCAATACTTTTCATTTCAGATTTTTCATGGACACAGTTAACACCAGGAAAATTACTGACAATCACGGGTGGCTGAAATTTCTTCAAACAGTTTTTTAATGAGAAACTGAGGGGGTTTGACTTATTTTATCTGTATGTGAACAGGTTCTGTTTTCTATTGGTTCTTTAAAAATAATTTTAAAAAATCTTGAGAATTTCAACCACAGGTTTCAACATTTTTAAAATGCTGTCTCATGAAGCTATTGGGAGCTATGCACAGCCTGCATGTAGTTGCCTAAGACACGTAGATGTCAACATAAGCTAGAGAGCAATTCAGCAGAATGGTTATTAGATTCCATAGCTGCCTATAATCAGAATCTATAATTAAGAGGCGCAAATGTATGCAACTAGTGTCATATGAGAGGTTCCCTAGGTATCCAAGACAGCTGCCCATGACTGACAGATACAACAATGGTCCAACAGCCCTTCTGTCAATGGCCAAAGGCTAGGCTGGAGACCCTGGATCATCCCATGCAGCAGCAAGCACCTGTATGTAGGAAATGTAATTGGGCCCTAGGAGTTTACAAGGAGCTGAAGAGGTCTCTAGGTGCACTGAGTATTGACTCAACCTTCACTGGCTACAAGGAGTGTTGACACACTTCACATGTCAACACCTACACACAAGCTTCTAGGTTTAGGCATCTTGATCTAGAGCTGAATCCTGCTCTGTCTCACACCATTACGACTTCGTCACCAGTGCCCTTGCAAGAATTACCCCTGGACTCAGTCAGACAGTCAAAATGGCTGAGTACATACATATCCCCTGCCACAATACAAGCATCTTGAGCTGAAAAGGAGGAAAAGGCAGCATTAAGAATAATGGCAAGCGTTGCTCAGAACAATGGCAATGGCACAGATGGGCATTTCCACTGGGAGGAACTATTAAAGTTAGGATGTAAGAATTCTCACCCTAAGTCTTGTGGGTCCTAGTACCTTGTACGTGTTTTCTGTATAATCATTCAGGGCACAGAGAAGTTGATACAATTTGGGGGGGATTTTTAGAGGTGCTTTCCTATGGTTTGCACCCCAATTCTCTTACAATAGTGACAAGACTTCTCTGCCTTTCTGCCCTTGAAACAGCTTACAGCTGCCTCACTGCATTTTGTGTAGAGATACGACCTCCAAAGGCTGAGAAGCTGTTTACAAGCATAAGCAAAAGACACTCCCCAAGCAACTGAAATGTGGGAGATGGGGGTCCAAACCCAGAGGGAAAAGGCATGGGTGACAAGTCAACATCTATGAGAGGGCAGCCCGCAGGCTCAAGTAACAGCCTCAGGTCCTCAACAGAGCAAGACTGCCATGCAGAATTACAATCTCTCTCTTCATTGACCCCTAGCAGCACAGAGGCTAAAGATACCTCTCTCTGTAGGCCACACACCAAGAGCCTACTGTGAAATGTAAGTGCTATGGGGGATGGTAATTTCCAATATCATACGGACTACTTATATAACGCTGTTAACTGGAGCCTGGCACTGCAAGGATACTGGGCATTCAAACTGAGTGGGATGAAGGCTTGTAACATCAACTGTCTTTCAACAGAAAACAGTGATTAGAAACAAAAAAAAATCTGAGGAAAATGCTTGCTTCCCGTAAGGAAATCTTAACTTAAAAAAATTATCAGCCAATAATACTTCAACTTTCAATTATGATTCTGAAATATAAAAGGCCCTCAAGGAAATCCTGGTTCAGGCAACTCGCTTGTGCTAAGACAGTCCCACAGACCAGAGTTTACTTCCCATAATGCATCTTTAGCATGCAAAAAGGTAGAATTTTTCAATTGATTTCTCTAAGTTTGGCTTTGGAATTGGCTTTCTCCTCCCCCTGCCTCCAGTTTCCTTGCTCTTCCACATTTCTGTACTGCTCTTTAACTCAAAAAGTTTACATTTAATTTTTGCTATACCTAACATTTCCTTTCTGATAGAACTGAAGTTAGATCCCTAGATTTCCACATCTTCAATTACAGCTCACAAGACAAAGTCCTACTATTCTCAAATAAAGCAGAACTAATTAAAGCAGTGTATATAATTAATCAAAATAGCTAGCAGTGCAATATTTAAAATAACTGAGGGCTGCCTGGATTATAGCAACATTATTAGCATGTGATTAATAAGCAGTTGAAGTATTACATTTGCTACACATTTGCTAAGTTATTTTATCTTGCTTTAAAGTTAGGTGGCAAAATTTCAAGCCATAGTTAGGAGATTTGCTTTATTCAGTATTACATTGTTAACCCCACCATCTGGTCAAACAGCTGAGGGAACGCAGACAACCATGTGGGGGGGCCCATGTTTCTCTCTTGGGAAATATTTGCCTTACTGAATTATGCAATGGTTACCAGTTTCTAGCTTATTACAGTACGATTTTAAAAAAACCATCAAAATACTTTTTAGATAACCTGAGTTTGTTCTTATGTAGGAAAATAAAGATGGCACTTACTTGAGGACCAGGCTGACCCTGAAATACAAGAAAAAGATAAGGTTATGGAAAGATATGACAAGAATTAACTCCTTAAACAGTAGCAAATAGTTACAGTACTCTCTAATAAGGAGATAACAAAAAATCCAGTAACCATACTGAAGTCAGATTCTGGACTCTTAAGTCTGTATTGAATTTGAATGTTTTAATTCAAATTGATGAACTTTCTTGCGATTACCTGATTCCAGAAATAAATTACAATAACTCGTCATTGAACATGCATTTGAGAAACTTCATTCTTTAGATAGTCAGAACAATACAATTTAGAAATGACAGAAAAGACCTAATTTAATCATTCTCAAGTGAGAAAGAATCCACAGATGCTGAGCTGATTTAGAAGCAGCCACTGCGTGCTTTGTCTCTATTATGGCTCACCCCCATGTTTCAAGGAGGTGCTAATTACTGCCTATTGAACTAAGTTTAAAAATTGGAGGAACCCATTGCTGGGCAAACAAGTCTTTTTTGCCATTGCTGCAAGCACCACAGTTTCAAGCAAATATAAACCAATATTTAAACCGGCAAGTCAGCAGTAGCTGAGCTCATCAGCCAGCCCAAGGTGTAGCTGACCCATTTCCTCTCCCTTATTAATCATCACCATTGGACCACCCGTGGCCAAACGGAGAGGCACCCTCTGCACACTGAGGAGGTGTACGTAACTCTTGCTGCAAGCCCTTACAGAGCAGACCTCCTATCACTAAGGTCCCTAGCCTAGGAAAGCCAGTGAAAGTCATCAGTTATTTTACCCCACAAATTATTTGCATGAAGCAGAATTAGATTACAAAACAGTATAGTAGCTGTGACTATGAACTACAACCACACAGACAATCAGCTCACACTGTAAGACAGAGACAAATATTTATGTAGTTCTCCCTGCAAAGAGAGAATTTCTTAAACTCCTAGAGCTAGCTTAGCTTCCAGTATTTTATGACACTTCAATATTATTTCAGTTGGATTGAAACTACATTTCCTTTTGTAGAAAGAAACTGAGCATAGAGACTTCTTATAAGTTATAAAACCTCTTCGCTTTAGCTAGAAGGTACTCCTACACAGAGTTCAAACTTTTCCATTTAAGCATCAGGAAACACTTTTTTTCTCTGTGAGGGTGACCAAGCACTGACACAGGTTGCCCAGGGAGACTGTGGAGTCTCCATCCTTGGAGATATTGAAGAGCCACCTGAACATGATCCTGAGCAACCTGCTCTAGATGGCTCTGCTTGAGCAGAGAGGTTGGATCAGATGACCTGCAGAGGTCCCTTCCAGCTTCAATCATTTTGTGATTCTGTATGATTTTTTGGGGGTAGGGAGGGGGGACACACGACACACATGTCAACTGGGCACTATTATCTGCAAGAAAAGCAGCTGAAGAAAAATGGTTTTTTTAGTAACTAATAAGATTTTTGTGTTAAATTAAAAAGCAGAAAAACATATTTTAATTCACATGCAAATTTTTAAAGGGTTTTTTTTTAATATAACAAAAATCAGAAATAAAGTTACAGAGGAATCATGGTAAAATACAGAATTATTATGGCTATCTAATCCTTACATTGAAGGCAGCCTAAAGCATTCCTTGTAGATGCTGCAGTTTTGTACTAGTTCCTTACAACAACTCTGCACTATAGAAGTTTTCAGTAAAAAAAAAAAAAAAATTAAATATATACTGGCTGAGGTTTGCCAGTTCTAATATGATGTAAAATTTTCTGAACTGCTCAGTTCTATGAACCTGCACATCACATTGGGTTAATGAATACGATTGGGACTCCTCAGCTCTCAGCCTTTACCTCAATCTTCCCATCACAGCAGGTTTTAAGATATTGTATGCTATATCTGAACCTAAGATCATCAGGAATTGCTTACTGATGCAGTTTTGGACAGCCTGTATAATACATTTGTATAAATTAAGTAAACTGAGACTAAGCAAACTTTTATATACTAACTCATAATATGTTTGCTTCACAAGTATATCTAAAGTTGCAATACATTTTGAACAAATCACTAGACTGTCTCCAAGATATACATATTAAAAAAACCCTTAAAGTCTGAAATCACCAAAATGTTTCAATAAAGTATTGATTTAAAGCAGTAGAAAGCAAATAAAGAGAATATATATACATAAACAAAAAATATTTGAAAACTGATGCTTTTTTCTTCAATCTAATTTACACATACTGGCTACTAAGTGTCCACATGCTATATGTATGGTATGAGGGACATATACACATAACACAAACATACCCTGAACTGAATGCCAGGGGCAGAATCATGCTGCCGTGAAAGTGTTTCCTACTCTCAATCTCCACAGCGTTACCAGTTTGCCTTCCTGTAATTGTGCATTTGTAATTACTCTTTTATCAGTTCTGCAATACGGAGAGAGGAAAGCTGGAAACTGAATTTTTATAGGACAATTGTTTTTCATGGTGACACAGAACTCTATGAGATAGTGGGGAATGTAATAGTTGCGTTTCTCTTAGTTTATATATGCTGTCAATATTGCAATTATCCTGCACTTAACTGTAAATGCAGATGCTGAATACAGAAGTATTCATAGCAGGATTTTTTTATCCTGTTGGCTATGAGGTCCTTGAACACGGAAGGAACTTTGCATTAGTGAAGGTAATTATCTTCTGTTTTTTTCAGTTGTTCCCAATCCTTCAGTATTTTTAAATACTCTTAGGTACCAGCTACTGCAGTTACAGTATGATTTCCCTTCTCACTAACGCTCCAGTAAGTGACACTAACCAGAGGATGCAGCAAGTACTGTATTATGGACCTCTTCAGCTCCGCTTACAAAGGGACAGGTAGAAAGAGGCATCCCGATACTGACCTTGTTGATTGTAAAGGGTCATTGTCACACAACAACCATTCAAAGTGGGAGACAAAAAAGGGGCTGTTCATTTTGCCTTCTCTCATTTTTGGGTGTTGTGAAAGGATCAGGAATAAAGCTCTATGAGTTACTTTTGTGTTCATTAAAAAACCCTCTAACATGAATACAATCTGATATTATAACTCATTTGAGCAAGCTCAATCTCAATTAATATGCTTGTGTTCCCCAAAGGGTTCCAGGATTGCTGAAATCACTCTGCGTAAATTGTTCCCAATGGCATATTACTCATGGATTAAAATGCTTTAGCTGGAAGTACTTCTCTAAATTTTAGATAAAAAACAGGGTGAAAACACTCTTCAGGACTGAAAATTCAGCATTACTCTGATTTTCTTCTAATGAACATGTCTTTATTCAAATGTGTTATATACCCTAAAATTGATTCATTGATTGTAGCTATGAACTGGCTGCTGTTCTTTGCACACATTTACAGATCAGTCCCAACACCAATAACTGATCAGGTGTATTTTAGTGGCTGCTGCTCTGAACGTCTGGATCATTGCTCAGGTACTTCATTACCCACTACTGATTGCTGCTTTTTTTTTTTTTTTTTTTAAATCTGCATGATACAGTGGGTATAGCTACATAATATATCATGGTTTCAGCAAAATCTTCAGAACAATTTTTCTCTTCTATATTCCTATTTACTGACTTAATATGTTATTTTGCAGGAAAGAAAGGGGTTAAGTTTGGCAGCCTGTTCTAATTATAATGATGGAAGGTCTTCTATGGTTGATAATTAATCCCTTCCTAGCAATTCAACCTACTATTAGCTGCTGATATGTAAATAATACTAAAAGCAAAAGAAAAGATATATAGTGTAGCCAGGTCTAGCTGAAGTCAACAGGTAAGCTATCAATCTGCTGAAAGAGGAGATTAAAGAAAAAGCATATTGACTGGAGGCTGCGAACATTGCAGAAAAGCTACTTAACAGTAGAAAGAGACATCAAGGAGCACAGGAAAAAGTCCAGGGAAAAGAAAATGGAAGTTGACACTGCAACTTAGCAAGCTGAGCTTGCAGAGGAAACGGGGCTTGTAGCAAATGAAAGGACAGAAAAGAGAAGATGTATTCAGGGTATCAGAGAAAAGGGCTGTCTGGAAAAGGAAAAAGAGACAGGGAGGAAAAACAATAGCATGAGAAAGTGCAGAAACTGGATTTTCATAGCTTTGCATGATTTTAATCTTTAAAGAGCTGGGAACATAAACTTCCAGGCTCATACAACCAAATATATGGATAAACAAATACATATACAAACACAAATATACTTACAAATGCATTGTATAAAACTGAAGGCTATTTCTAACTTAATTCAAGTAGCACCTCCCTAAAGAATATCTGGGATAGCATACAAATGCATTTAAAATTAGACTTGGGGCTGTTCGGATCTAATCAGCCAACAAAATGCAGGCAGAGAAATTAAAACACAAAAATGAAGAACCCATGGAAAAAGGAAATCAGGAAGAGCCACAGATACGTGGTCAGAAATAATATCCCGCTGTGTGAAGGGCACCACCAAACTACCCTTGTGGGGCATTTTTTGGACAGAGCACCCAAGTAGGAACATCTGTCTTCCAACCTAATCCAGATCGAAGATGACAAGGCAACGGGAGTAGCACGGCTGACCTCCATTTCCTTGGACAGACACAGGGCTGAAGTGGCTTTTCGGCACTCTGTTACAATCTGTGCTACTGAGCTTGGAATAAGTTATGCCAAAGGAAGCCAATATGTGATTAATATACATTTCAGCATGAGCAATTAAAAAAGCAAAGAGGGAATATATGCAAGACCTAAATTACACTGGTTTTGAACAAATCACCTACCAGCTTTCCATCCATACCAATCGGACCCTGGGATAATCAAAAAGTCAAAACAAAATGGAACAGTTAAATCAGAGGAACACTGAAGATGAGAAAAAATATACAGACTTGGGGAATACTGCGGGCTTTAGAAGATGAATAACTCTATGTCAGCAGTTAAATGCAATACCTTAAAGATATTTTGAGAACAAAGGCATAAAAAAGAAAAAACAAAATAAACAGACCTAAACAGAATTAATAAAAACAGCATGGTGGGAAGCAGCCAGGCAATAGCTGATGTTTA